TATGCTTGGTAAGGTGAATTTATGCTCTTGAATGTTTTATATGGCTTGGAAATTGACTATCTTTGCTACTTGGATTTAAATTAATTGACATACATTAGTATGAGTTAATTGGACCTTAGTTACTGAGTGGTTATACTCACTCTATTATTTTCAATATTATAAGGAATAGCTCAAGAGGATCGGGTAAAGGAAAGTAACCAAAGGCTTAGGACTGTGATCCTAGGCCTCTTTATTTTTGAGTCGTTATGTGTATTTGACAATTAAAATTGTCAATTAGAGATAATCCATTTGATATTTACTTGTGTTACATGTTTTGTAAATTGTAAGTATATTTTAGGCCCTAGAAAGTGAGTTTGTGAAGTGTGATATCTGTGATAGGGCCAAAATATTAATGCAAGTGAGAGTTGAGCATAAAAAGTGTTGATTATGAAATAATTATTCAAAAGTGATTTGAACTCCCCCTCATATATTTTTGAAGTTAAGGGAATTTAGTAGTGAAATCATGATCTATAAGTATTTAATGTGTATGATGGATTACATGAGCTAGTTTTGATGTTTTGTATGTGGTCTAATTAATCTTAATAGCTATTGGCTTTTAGTGATTGAGTTGGACACTTAGTTTTAAGAAAAATGTTAAAAATGTATGTTTTGAAAAAAGTATCCAAATTTTGATTGTGTAATAATTTGATTGTGAAACTAAAGCTATTAGTTAAAGCTCGAAAAGAGCTTTTCGTAAACACCTAGTTCGCATCAATCAGATGGAGGATTGGGGCAAGTTGAAAGTTTCCTCAAAAGTTATCAAATTGATAGCAAAATTTACTGTAAAAAATCATACAAATGCGCCACGACGCCGGGTTCCATGAACCGCAGCACACACCCCTTAATTTTGTAGGATTATTTTATTTTAGATTATTTGACAAATGCACTCATGTTTGAAATGATTTCATACTTTCACATAATTGTAAAATCTAATTTGTCTATTTTAAAGACTTTGAAAATGGTTTTAGTTTTTTTTTTTTTTGCAAATTTAGGATCCCAACTTTTTTTCACCCATTAGTAATTTGGTATTATATTAATTATCTTAATCCAATCTCTTTATTACTTGAGATTTAGAGTTAATCATGGTTTAAAGGTTGAGGGTATTACATCATTTAAACATTGGACAGAGAAATAAGGCACATCAAAAGTTGCCTGGTTTTGCTATTAAATGACAATAAATCTTGCTATTAGGAGCATGCAACATGCTACAGTGCCATAATGCATTGCTCTGTTTCTAACAAAATGAGATTTTTCAACTATTTTAAATGCTTTTCACTCCTCTGAGATATCTCATGCTTCCATAATATTACTTTAGTCTAATAAAAGGTCAAATGTATGGTTTTGATTTATTTTAAATTATGAAAACTTAAGATCCCAATATTTCAAATTTCAAACTTGGTAATCTCTTTAAAGGTTAATGCCTTAATTATCATGATTTATGATTTTAATTATGATTGGATAAGGGAGATGTTACAACATAGATCTTGGACACTTGAGACTAGAGTTAATGATTGTCAAACTTACAATCATATCAATCAATTGTCTCTCATACAAGCCTTTAGTGTAAACATCTTAACAAGTATGACTGACACTCATGCACAACATGCACAATTACAAATCATGCCATTATAATTATTCATCATTCATAATACCTATTACATGATAGACTAATAGCAAAAATTTATCCAAGTCAACACTAGGCACAAGCAAAATGAGATATAGCTAAACATGTGCAAACACCTAGGCAATATTAAGTATTTAAATATACAAATAAAATGACTATAAACTTTACTTAAAAAGCTACACATCTCTAGTCTCTATTGCTTCCTCCTTCACCATACGCTTAACATCACTTAGAAAAGTATTAATAAATGAAAGTGAAATTATAAAATCTTAGTAACCAAAGCACATAAATTCAAGTATATAAAAATATGACAAATACTAGCATGTAAGGCAAAAATTCACATTTAATATTCTATTGGTACTCAACATATATCATAATATCATTATTCGCCAATCACATGGCATCTAATTCAATAATGATAGTTGTGCATGATCATATGCATCCCATAATCCCATTTTTATTCCTCTCCTTATATCTTCTTATTGAATCCATGTGCTATCAAATTATATAGAACTAACTCATTTAATAGGATTAGGCCTACTCTCCAATTGTAGGGAACCTGGCCAAGGTACCCACTCCTCATTCACAAACCACAGATTCCCCCTTCTTAAATTACCAAGATATCATAGTTGCCTGACTCATACTATCCCCTGTAGGAAAACTGGTGATCCCAAGTGGTGTACTTACATATGCCATCCTCAAGGGACAATAGACATAAACACATTGTAATCAAATATGTAAACCACTATGCATAAATCTTAGTAGAGGTTAACCATATGGATTTCACAGTGCCCTTACTCGAGTGAACTCACACCCATCCACAATTATACAACATGTTTATGTTACTTAATGACAACATTATAAATGCAAATTTAATTAACTTATTTTATAATCAAACACATACTATCAAGCCAAGAATAAATAACCAACATTTAATTTCATGCCATAATCACATGCTCATGCCCAATAACATATCATCATCATATATTTTTAGTATCATTTCACAAACATTTAATCACTTAATCACATATTCACATCCTCATACACATGCTCATAAATTCACATGTCCACAATCATGCTCATTAAGATTGCATTGGTCACAATTACATCATCACATTTAACACGATACAACCACACAATGCCAATTAAATTAGTTATTCCATTTCATTATCAAACAAGCTCATAACCATATATCACATAATTCTTAACCATCCAAACCAAGATGCTTATGCATTCATAGCAAACAATAACATACAACTCATAATTACAAATAACAATTATTTACAAGAATTTAACTTTTGGTTACATCAACCTTTGGTTTACCACATTAAGAGTACAATTTGAATTTTAGAGGAGCTTCCAAACACAAAAATAGCTTCAAGAGCAATCAATCTACGATTAGAACCATTAAATATCATTAATGACTAATCATCATTAATTAATCCTTAATTACATTTAAGGCTTAAAGCTTTTCGTTAATGATATTAACTATCAATGGTCTCATCGTTAGCTTCTATTAACTTATTTAACCTCATATTAGTCTAAATAACACTATTAATCCACTTCATTAACTCAATTCTAGTTACTCGGCATTAGGTTAAGCTTAAATCTAACATTATCACTATAACTCATACCCATTAGCATAACCTAACAATTAGGAATGTAAGCAACTATCTATAGACTTCATTAAAGTCATAGGAATGGGTACAATATAGCTACAGGTTTTGACCATAGACTTATAACTCATAAACTTATAGAAATACCCAAGGAAAAGAGAGGAGAGGAGAGGAGAGGAGAGGAGGAAGCTTACCCAAGAGTGTACTAGCTTCAAAAAGCCTCCTCTAGCCAAATTTATCAAGCCCTACCAAAGTTGCTATCATTCTCTCTCATTTTCTCAACTCTCCTTATTTTTTTAAAGCCTGAATGCATATCTTAAATTTTAAAATCTGACGTGTCCGCCACCACCATAGCTCATGGCATTATTTGCTGCGATGGATAGTACAATTTAAGAACCATTTAAGCTCATTAATTTGGGTCCAAAGTGGCCTAATGGATCCTCTAGTTCCCTTCTAAACCTCATATAAAGTTCAATAGACCTCAAGGCTATCCAATTACTCTAATTAATTCAATTAAAAAATAGATTAATTAACTTAACCCCTACTTAACTTTAATAAATTTATTTTAAATTTCAAGCTGTTACATTTTATTTTTTATATACACAAATATATGGATGAAAAACAATTATTTTATTCCATAATTATACACAGCTTCTTTATAGGTTGTTGTAAATGGATAGATAACAATTAACAAAAATGAGGTGTGAACTGTAAAGTATTATAGAGTTACATTATATAAGTCAAAAAGGAAATAAAAATAAATAAATAATTCAAACAAAGGTTTGATTTATGCATTGTTATAACAATCATGTTAAGTTTGCAGTCAAGTCAGCTATGATTAAGTGTGTATTTGGTTTTAAATTTCTAAAAGTCTATTTACTAAAAGTTTATTTAATAAAAGTCAATACAATAAAAGTTAATTGTTGTAATGGAATTTGTGTTTAAATATATTTTTTCAAAAGTTAATTTAGTAAACTGAAAGTTGTTTAGATTAATGTTAATTTTTATCTTTAAAATTTTCTTTTAGATATACATTAACAACAAAAGACATTGATTTATGATTATTTATAATTTTTGTTATATAAGTATTTATTATAAATGTTTAAAAAATGTGAAAATATTTAAAATAATATAAAATTTAATATGTTAAACAATAAGAATAAAAAATATAAAATGCAAATATAAAAAAATTTAAATGTTTGAAAAACTCATGAACAAAAGACGAGAGACGGGAGGTTAGCGGAGGGAGACAGCAGACAAAGTAAAATCTAACCTATGGTCACCAAATAAAGGAGCAACAATGGCAAGGAGTGGGAGATCAGAGAAGCGAGGTCAGAGGAGAGGAGTAGAGATGAGAAAGAGAGAACCTGAGAAGAGCTAAGGTGGTCTTGTACAAAGAGAAAGAAAAAAACAAGGGTAGCATAATTATTTACAAAATTAGATACTTTATCCGTTAAAAAAATATAAAATATTTTTTAATATTTTAAGATATAATTATTATATTTTTTTAAAAAAAATATCTCTATAAATAAATTATTTTATATTTATTTTGAAGTTAAACACATAATTAAATAGAAATAAATAAAAAATAATATTAATTTAAAAATAAATAATTATTTTATTAAAAATAAAATTTGATTAAAAATAATTTCTTTCAATCAAAAGAGTATATATTCATTTCCTGTGTTAAACGCTCTAACTTCATTGGGCATTTCAAATCCGATTTGCTTTTGGAAATTTACTTCCAAAGCGTTTGTCAACCATATTTCAAAAATCATTTTACTCATTTAAAAAGTTTTCAAACAACTTTTAACATTTGAAAGGATTAATGCCCCTTACCCAAACGTGCCCAGTCTAAAAGATATGGAATTTTTCATTCGGCACATGGACCCACTATCTGCAGATTTTCAGAGACCACCATGATGCCTGAGAGCTCCTGCTTTTTTATAGCAGAGGCGAAATTTTAGTATTTTATTAAGCCCCGGAAACCAGAATTTAACTTTGATTTCCTATCGTCGAAAAAGCAAGCTCTGTGAATTCTGAATAGTGAAAATGGCCCCTTTTTTTTTTGTGAATACTTACAAAACTAATCATTTTGAGTAATCCACACCTTTAATCCGAAGTCTGACCCTGAGAGGGAGACAGACCCGAAAGAAACAGAAATCTGTGGAATCTCTGAACGATTCGATTGGCTCTGGTGCGTCAATTTTTGCTCTATTTTCTGCAGAATGTGGCCATTTTTTTCTTAGGGTTTCGCTTGCCGCTCTTCCTCGCGCCACCACTAGCTTCCTCCTCTTAAGGTTCGCCGAGATCTTTTGTTTCTTGATTTTTCTTTCATTCGCCTCGCTCTTGTTTTGAACCCTAATCTAACCAATTTAGTTTTTTTTTTTCCTTTCTTTTTTATTTTCATTCGATTTTGTTACCATCTGGGCCTTTCGGGCTTTTGAAATTCGACCAGGCATGCTGGCTTTGCTCTCCCTAGATTTTTAACCTACCTCAGATAAAATAAAAGGCTTTATGGCTCTATTGTCGGCCAATTTAGTTTTATGCGTTCTTGTCTTGTTCTTGAATTCGAGGAAAGCATACATGCATATATTCAATACGCTTCAGTTCTCTCTCTATTGTTGTTGGATTAAGTCGCATGGGTATCTTCATTGAGAGAAACTCCCATCTGGTTTGGTGAAATTCTCCAAGTCCATCCCGTTGAAGTTCGTCTCTTAGATTGTCATAGATTTTAAAGTTTTCTTGGTGCTCAAGTATTTAAAAATACTTTATCAATATCATTATTTTCTATTATGATTTTGTTTTGATGTCTTCATTTTTATGCTGTTGCTTTAGTATAGAACGAATTGAACACCAGCTTCTGATCTCTGTGGAAACCAAAACAATAAATCTCATTTTTCTGGCTAGGTCCGCCATCTCTATACCAATTTGGGAAATTCCTAATGGATGACGGTGAGCTTGATTTCCGAAACCAGCAAACGTTCTGCGGTCCAAACATGGAAGAACTTCAGAGCACTTGCTCAATGGATAGTTTCTTCGAAGAGCTTTTAAATGACACACATGCGTGCACGCACACTCACACTTGCAACCCTCCTGGCCCTGATAATTCACATACCCACACTTGTTATCATGTGCACACCAAAATTGTTCCAGCACCTTCTGAAGAAAAGGTTGGCACTGATGAGAGTACTGGTACAGAATCTGCAGAAAAGAGGCCAAAAAAACGTCCTTTAGGTAACCGCGAAGCAGTTCGCAAATATCGTGAGAAGAAGAAAGCCCGAGCTGCATCTTTGGAGGATGAGGTTGTAAAATTGAGAGCTTTGAATCAACATTTGTTGAAGAGGTTACAAGGTCAGTCTGCTTTAGAGGCTGAAATTGCAAGGCTAAAGTGCTTGCTAGTTGACATTCGAGGAAGGATTGATGGGGAGATCGGATCATTTCCGTATCAGAAATCAATTAATTTGAACGTGCCAACTACACCCTCGCCTGGTTCCTATTTGATGAATCCTTGCAATGTGCAATGTGGTGATCAGGTCTATTGTCTTCATCCTGCAGCAGATGGCAAGAATACAGAACATTTATCAACTAACGAACAAGGATTGAGTGGTTGTGAATTTGAAAGCATTCCCTGCCCAGCAAACCTGAATTTGGGCCTCAAGGATCTTTCTGGCTGTGGAGTTGGACAGGAAGTATCTAACATCAATTCTTCTACAGCAAATAAAAGAAAAGGTGATGCCTGATTTCTCTCTCTCTCTCTCCCTCTCAGATTTTAGCATGAATTATTAATTTCAGACCAATTTTTGTATAAGCTGGATGCCATTCAAATTGATCGCTGGTGAATGGTATTATCTGCCTAGCATCTTTTATCTTTGTTTGTGATCCCATGCTTTTTATTTATCTTGTTATCTTTCTTTTTCTTTTTTAGGATAAAATCTTGGCCAACTCAATATCATGTCTGGATCTGGTGCTGAAGTTTAATTGCAAGATTTCCTGATAAATAATCTTTAACTTCTGCAAGGATGCCTGGTTTTAGAAGGGTTGTTGACCATAAGTTAAGTCCATAACTTCATCCTAGAAAGTATGGTGCTTGATTGCTAGTAAATGTTGCCATGTAATGACTTAGGCTTTCTTCTAGAAGACTTAGCTGGGTGGCAAAACATGTTAAAGGATGCATGGCTCCTATCCTACCAAGGAGACCACTTGACCCATAGAGAGGGTTAGGAAAATGAATTACACTTGAACATTTTATTGTGACAATCTCACTTTATTCGGATTTTTGAAAATTTTTTCAAGACGGCAATAATCATGATGTACATATATTTCTACAAGCATCAAGAAGTCTCACTAGATGGTTTTGAATTTCTCCTATGTCTTTGTGATCCTGGTTTTGAAGCCTCATGAATTGGGTCTTGTTGGTTTTTCTTTTCAATGATACTCACGACTGGGACTTGCTGGTTTTCCACTTTTCCTTTTCAATAATATGATGCTATCTTATGTATTAGGGCGAACTCGAGCAGCAATGGCTAGTTGAACTGGCAATGATATGGCTGTGATGGTTTTCATCATCCTCATGGTACATGGTTTATTCCAATAAGTTGTTGCCAATTGCAGCATCAGCTATCCACCAGGTCATTTTGTAGTTCTGATCTTTGCTTAGGAAAATTCATTTCTTTCTTTTTGACCCACCCACAGCTGGGTTACTGGGGTTGGGATGACCGTTCTATAACGTTTGATCAAACTTTGCTGGTTACAATAGTGCATGGGTAGCCAGCAGAGCCTATGGCTGATACACTTGGCCTTGTGATCATACGTGGACTTATTTGAGTTGTTGCAAGAGGCCATCTAAATGAATGTTGCTCAACAAATTTGTCGCTGCTGAACTACAGAACTTAGAGAAGCTGGTTTGTTAACATTCAATACTTTGTGCCGTGGGCAGGTGAGATTCAAGTTTCATAATGTAATCTACGATCTGGTTTGCAAAACAATAAATTCGTCTCGCATAGTTTCCAGCACTGCTCTTCCTTTATCATTAATTAATCTGAATGACAAGTGTACTTCTGCCTATAGCATTTTGCTAAACAAGGGATGGCCATTGTTATTGGACAAGTGATGCCGTTGCCACCTATAAGCCCTGTTTGGTTGGATGAACTTTATGGGAGACAGGAGGAAAGGACACTTCTTTCTTGTTCATGGGACATTTGGTTGGCAGACTTGGAAACAACAGTTCAACCCTTGGGAGACCCTTTTGCAGCAGTTGAGAGAGATATTCTTCATCCCACATCAGGTGGCCGAAATAGCCTTACTGGGAAGGCTTGACATTGTCACTGACAAAAATACCCACAAAAGACATGGCATGAAATTAGTTGAACAGCACAGAAACACAAACCCGCACAAATAGCTTCGGTTAGCATCTCATGTTCATCGGCAGAGTTTGAATCGACAAATTTCTAGCCGAAATCTGCAAATTTTGAAGAGTGAAAAATCAATCAAATCATATGAAGTGGTTGTTTTTTAAAAAAAAAAATTGGGAATACCAAGAGAGAAAAATATAGAACAAGTTGGCCCTCCGATATCCCTTCTACTGTCGATGAGATCTCCGTCTTCTCCATTAAGACCCCTCGTTGCAGATCCTAATCTGGTTGAGTTTTAGCTTTTTATGTATAAGGAGAAAAAAAGCATGTATCTTGCTGTGGTGAAGTGGGTTAAAAGATGATAACTGGACATGTTATAACATCCAGAAACTTCGTACTTCTCGTCGGCACTAATTAAGCATGTGTCCTTTCCTTTCTTTCTATGCAAATCAAACGTTTTTTCTCACATCTCTCCTGTCCTCCTTGGTCGATCAAACATCTTTGTTAATCTTATCTTTAATTTACTTTCCGTACTTTTTCCCTTTTTTTCCTTGATTTATTTTGAGCCAAACACGGCCAGGTGAGGCATGAAGATGGAAAGTGTTCTCAAGTGAGCAAGACCCTCTAAAAAATTTTGGTAAGCCTTTTGAGACTATTTTTCTTTCAGCGGTGACTTCACTAGGAAAGAGAATGTGCCTTAAGTAAACATCAGAGTGTTGCGACTGAATTGAACCATGCTTTCAGAAAACATTCAGAAGTTGAACCTTGTTATGTTCCTTAGGCGGACATAGAGAAACCAATTAAACATTTGTTTGCCGGGTAAGAGAAATTTTGTAAGTAAATTGTTTCTTGATCACCGAGGGCGGTAGTCTAATATCCACAAATTCAGTCCCTAAATTTGACCGATCAAATTAAAAATAATAATAATAATAATAATGTGATGGCCTCGACATTGAGTGTTAAATTTAATCCTGTGCATTATGATCCAATAAGGGGGAAAAAAAAGGGTGCGTAATTTTGTGCTAGACAAACCTATGAAAGAAAATATGGGTATTTATTTATGCGGCGGGAGGAGCGAAGGATTTGGAAGCCGCACTTAAAAAAGAAGTGTAAGAACAGAACTAGTTGCTGTCACGAACATGATTGAGCTTGGTTGTTGACTGTGATTCCTTCAAATCAAAGTTTCTTAAATTATGTTTTGAGCATACACATGACAGCAATAAAGAGAGAAAAATATTCATGCAAAGGTGGGGATACGATATATATATATGATTTGATCTTTTTATACTATTCCCTCTGAATTCATGAATAAAGAATATTTAATTTCAAATTCCTTCTAACATTTACCAAATCTAAATCATGTTCTGTAACCATTTGTTTCTCATCTAAAAACCTCTTTTATAAGGTTTAAATGCCATATCATCCACGTCTTGCTCCCTCTTTATTATCTCAGGCCGTTTAGTATATATTATTTTATCCTCTCATGGTAATAAAAACCATTTGCTTTTTTAAAATAAAGTCTGTTAGTATCTTCTTAAGCGTATATTTCTTCTACGTCTATATCCTATCATTTTAAAATGTGTCAATTGCATCTGGTATCTGTGTGTCAAGATGGGGAAAAAATCGTTTGAAACTTAAGAAGAAATAAGTTGACTTATTTTTTGGTAAACTAAAAGTTTAAATAAGTTAAATCTTGAGAACTTAAGAAAATCAAAAATCAGTGCATGTCTTTAAACTTAAAAAACATTTATAAATCACCCACAAACGAGAACAAGAATTATGCATTCTTACTCGGGCTTATTGTTCGTCGCTGCTCGCCTTATTTGCTAGCCTCAAGTGGGGTGAAATGAACAGAAGAATATTCCTCTTCACACTTGTATATTCATTTAAAAACATTTATTAAAAAAAGAAAGAAAAAGCATTCCATGTTGATATTTACATGACGGGGAAAGTACAGGGCACGCAAATCACTTATCAGCAAGATCACACAATACAATGCGTGTAGGACAAAAGATTTATCATCCTACGGGTGTAGCTAACATCTTTATACTAAGGAGAGAATATATTTTAAAATTTCAGATTTTCTCTATTTAGAATACAACAAGGAGAATGTATAGATATTATAAAAAAAAATTAATTAATTTAAGTTTAATTTTAAGTATTAAATTTCAAAAATTTATAATTTAATTTTTTAATTTTTTAATTCTGTAATGATAAAACTTATAATTTAATCTCTCATAACAAAATAACTAAATAAATACTACACTAAATTTTTTAATTTTATAAATCAAATTTAATTTTATTAATTTTTTAATTATTACTGAATAAAATCAAATTATGAGTTACCTAATTTAATTTTTTTTAAGAAAGAGATTACATATCAGAGTTGGGCCGAACTTCATTGTGCAGCCCAACTTTTCAATATGACTTTGCGAAACCACAAACTTAAATGATTTTTTATCAGTAGTCAGAATGTCAGATATTAAATGTAAACTTTTCATTCTAACAGAATTTGAACATTTGATATGCTATACGTGTACAACAAAAATAGGTAATTGTATCAAAACGTGATCCATTAATACCTGACATATTTTGGAATGAATCACAGCATGAAAATTTTAACTAATGAATGTGAAATACTGAAATTTAATGTATGAAATGAATAAATCCATTAAGTGACGAACAAATTCAGAATTTTTTTTCCTTAAAATGTATTATTTGTTTGTTAAATAACAGCAGCGTCATTCTCTAATTTTCCTAGAATGACCCCAAAACAAAATTACCTATCTGACCCCTCTCTCAGCCATAAATACTTCACAAAGTCAAAAACAAATAAATTTACAGATCGCTCCGACGGATTCATCAAAGCAAAATTCTTAATGATATACAGTCAAAATCAAGACATATATGAAGATCACCAATCTCTTTAGCAAACTACTCTATAGGAATTTAACATACAGAAATCTCAAAACAAAGTCAACAACAGCGAAGCAAAGGCCGTGACCGAAACACATGCATCACATGACGGCACAAGCGGCGGGGTTCTCATCACTGAAAGCCGTCGTGTAACGCACCTCCGTGGAGCTCGCACGTGCGAGCTGAGACACGTATGGATCTTCAGCGCTTCGCACGTACCCAGCCGGCGCTTTCTTGTCGTAGACGCCGGGAGCATAAGGGTGGGCAACCACGTCATACGGGACGTACGGCCACAGCTCGGCCTTCTTACCGGTCCGGTGAGCTATCCGAGCCACCACCTTCGACGGCTCCACGTAGCCGGTGACGGTTACTTTGTTAGCCTTTCGTTCCACGTCCACTTGGTTCACGCCTTTCATGCCTTCCACCGCCTTCTTCACCTTCCTCTCGCATCCTTCACAGTCCATCTTCACTTTGACCTCAACCGTCTGATAAATCGAATCAAGTACTTCATCCAATAAGCATCTAGACCATAACCCTACGGAAGATGTAGAGCTAGAAAAGAGGAAGGAAGAAAAGGAAGGAAGGTTACCTGCAATTGCTTGCGCTTCTTGTGCTTGGACCTTCCACTGGAGCAGTCGAAAAGTTCAGAAATGTGATCGAGAGCACCCATGGTGAATCTGAGAGTAAAGAGGATACTGCTGGGATCACACGAGGAGATACGGCGGAATGATGAATGGAGAACAGTAGCAGCAAAAGAAAAGAGCAGAGGTTGAGTGAAGGCTTTGGCTTTTTCGGGTGAGTGAGTTGGGGAGTGATATTGATTGAACAACTTTGAAGGATAAGGGGGCGAGGGCTCACCGAATTTATAATCAATGTTAGGGTAACAGACAGCGTGGGAGAGACAGGGACACGGACAGGGAGGGCCAGAGGTAATGGAAATCTGAGCCGTTCGTGTAGTCTAGGAGGGAAATATCGGGAACTGGAGAGGGCGGGCAGAATTGGGCCACGTGTCCAAGGATTAAAGGCGAGACGTCCATGGGAGCACCGACTACGAAATGGAAGTCGGCCCGGGCCTTGAAGGAGGGGCCCATGAAGAATGGATGCCAGCGAAAGGTATCATTTTGATTTGGAAAATGGAAATGCAGGGTTGAATAGATCGGGAACGATGATGCCGTGCATCTCGAGGTGGTGGGGCCTTCCGCCTCTGCGTTTATTAACGCACCCGACAAACGGTCTCCCAACACTGTCCCCACTCCCCGTCCCATTCCCAATCGACATCCACCATTATCAACATAATAATGTTCATTCATACGTAAACTCAGATACAAAAGCACCAATTACAATTTATTTTTCTCCATTTATTTTGTTTTTATTAATACTAAAATATGAAACACCGACTCAAATGGATTATAAAGTTAGTTGAATTGAATAATTAAAGAGTCAATCTCAATATAAGCAAAAGATAAGCTTCAAAGCTCAATAAAGATCATAGTAAAATAAACATGCCTGTTCATAGTTGAACAATAAATATCAAGAGTATCAGAGATGATGGGTCTCAATAAATAATAAAAGGGATCTCGAGTTTTCTTATCACAATTCACTCGAATATAAAAAGATAATAAGCTTTAGTAAAACAAGTGTGTAATTTTATTTAAGTGTTGAAAATTACAGATTAAAAATTTAAAACTGAAATAGAGCTAGCAAATGTAAACTATGCTACTCTTGATTGAGTGTTGACTGGCTTTCTCTGTTTTTTTTCTTTCTATTTATAGTATCTGATAGCAGAAGCCTTTTTTTTGAGACTTAGCACGTTCTACTAAAGAATTAGGAATCCCGCGAAACTTATGGCACGGCCTTTCCATTTTGATAAATAGCTCATTTCACCGAACTACTTGGGCATAAATTTCGACATTACTTAAAATCGTGTCTTCATGCCAACGGTCTGATATTTGAAATTGGCGGGATTTCGATGTGTTTATTTGTTATGAACTTTATTGAGTTTCAGGGCTGACCTTTTTTGTTTATATTGGGTTTGACGTTTCGATTACTCAGCCCAACTTAACTTCATAACCTATTTGAGCGACGTTTAATATTTAGCCCAAACAATGTTGAAATCCCGTCGGTTACAAGCATTGGACCGTTGGCAAGAAAACACGATCTCGAGTAATTTTTGAATCCGAGAACATCATGTCCAGGTATCTCGGTGAGACAAGCTAATTACTAAAAATGAAAAACTCAAAATAAAGACCGTGCCATGAGTTTCGCTAGATCCCTGATTCCTCGACAAGACGTACTAAGTATTAAGGGAAAGACTACCACTACTCTAACACTATAAATAGAAGACTCGCACTTTTACATTAGTTTTATCAATTAGTTTTACTTTTTATTTAGACTTGTAGCTTCTCTTATTTTAATAAAATTAAACACTTATTTTATCAAAGTTTTATATCTTTTTACATCCGATTAAACTGTGGTAAGAGAGTTTAAGATCCTTTTATTATTAATTGAAATTCAAAGTCTCTAGCACGTCTGATATTTGTTGTTCTCCACGAATAATTTTAAAAATTTTCAATTTTTTTTATTTAATGAAGTTTGTCAATTACTTTATATTTTGTATTAATATTAATTAATGTAAATGCTAGATACCACCCCTCCATACTATATATGTCATTTCCAATCGTCTTATGGGAAATGAAGAAGAGGTACTCCCCCCCTTTAATGTTGCAAAGCAATTTTAGTCTAATAATATTTTTGATGAGTTGATTAATTATTTTTTAAAATTATATAATTTTTTATATTTATTTTTATTCAATGAAATATTTTAATTAAAAAAATTATCAATTACATTTATTAATTGACAGTAATTTTGAAAAAAAATCTCACTAACTAAAGCTTTAAAAATAAAAAAATATTTTATATTTTTAAACACCTCACCTTCAAAAATTGACATTGTATAAAAAAAGATAAAGTTTTTTACCCTTCTGGTAAAAGATTACGAAAGTATAAAATTAGAATAAAGTAAATAATTGGACTCTCAATTTGTTATGCCATACAATTCGTTCATTTATTTTTTGAGTAAATAAGCAAATTTACCTAACTATAGATCTAAAAGAATTTGAAATTATAAACTCATTTTTTGTATGAATATTAATATATTATTCTTTAATTTTTAAAATGATGTAATTTTTAATAAATGATTCAAAAATTATAGACACTTATTCAAAAAATTATAAACAAAAACAAATAAATTTTTTCTCTTTTTTTTGTAATTTTTTATGTTTTGTTTATTATCTTTGAAGCAACTAACTATTAAAATTAACTTTTATTAATGATAAAAATTACATTTTAACTCTCAAACATATATGAACTTATAATTTAATGTCAATTTATTCATTTATATATATATATATATATATATATATGCAATATGTGGTACGATATGTAGATATCGCTCCCTAGAAATCGATGATTGAAGGAGATAATTCGAGCACCTTACAGATTATTTGGTCCCCAAAAGTCCAGAGAGTCAACATCAAATTAGTCACCGTTCCCACTCTGAACCTGCGGCTACAGGAGAATCTTCAGATAAACCAAGCCCGCTGGACACGGATCCTTATCGCTTTGTGTGCTTGGGACTTTCCTTTGGTCCGAAGTTTGTATATTTGTCACTAAACCTAAAAAATAACTTATTTATTTTGTCTCCTAACTCATGATTATCCATCCAACTCTTAAATTGAGTCTTCAAATTTATTATTTATATATTTTTAATTTATTAAATTATATTAACTCACTTATTAATTTAAATTAAATAAAACTTAATTAAACTAATCATTTTTATATTTTTAATTTATAAAATTATATCAATTTATATATAAACTTAAACTAAATACGATCAATTAAACTTACTAAAAATTGAGTAAATTTGATATATATTGTATAAAACTCGTTTTATAAAAGAGGTGTGACATAGCTAAAAATAATAATAAAATTCAAAAAACAAAAGTTAATACTATTAATGAAAAGAAAACAACAAACGGAGGTTGCTCTATTTTTAAATTTTTTATGTTGAGTATAAGTAGAATTGGTTTCAATTATTTATATTAAAATTAAATTATAATCATATTTTATATTTTAATTATTTAATTATATACTTTTAATGATTATTTATTAATAAAAGTACACTCCTATAAGTTCATAATTCAAGCTTACGATTTGAATTTATATTTTTATCATGAGTTTATTTATATTTATGAGTTGACAACCTTGCTTGTACCATTATTTATTGTTTATTATTTTTTATTCATCGTGCTTTGTTTAAACATTTTTAGGCTTATGGATATAAAATCTATTCAAATTCGCATTATTCATAAGTTCAGAATTATATTTATTCACTTTACATTTGACACAACTTCTCTTAAACTTCAACATTTTTTTATTTTTTAACATTTCTCTTCATTTTTATCATGCTTCATGTAATATTTTTTACAAATATTTTTACTTGTATTAATATTAATAGGAATAATGAATGTAACTTTTGAAAAACTTTAAATTGACAATTACTAGTTTTGAAAATATTTTTTGATACAGAGCCAGGTGTGCGAAAAAGTAAAAATCAATAGATCTCACCAATCTATGGGGAGATCTGATTTATACAAGAACCTGACATGTGGCCAGTTCTATTGGTTATACTCTAGTAAAAATTATAAGCAGTTTTTAAAATAAATTTACATATTAATAAAGTTTTAATTCTCATAAAAATATATATTATTTTTTTCTTTTTATCCTTAATCTCAATTACTAATACACTTTATGATAAGTGAGAAATAATTTTATAAAAGAATTTAGGTTAAAAAACACAAGAGGTAAAATAAAAAAAAATTACATATACTAAATTGTTTATATTCTGAATCAAGATTAGTTGAAAAAAATATTTATATTTTAGACTAATTAAATACAAAATAACCTAGCCCCTCCTTGAGCTACTTAGTTCTCTGGACTTGATCTCCCAGTTTCTCAACATAGTCTTCGTCTCTGCAGCCAAGGATTCTTCTCACATTCTACAATATTCATAATTAATTAATAGTAATTATAATTTTAAGGCTTTGTACTCTCTCCCTTATAAATTATAAGACACTTTTGAATAATATCTCACACACTGATAAATTTTATTAAATACACTTAATAATTTTATTTATTTAAAATAAAAATATAAACTTTTAAAAATATTATTCATTTAATATATTGAAGGTAATGAGGGATAGAATTTAGATAAAGAAATGGAGAAAGGATAACATTAAAATAAATTTATTTAATAAAATTTTAATCTTAAAATTTTTATAATTTAAAACGAATGTAGTAGTTCATCTTCGGCCTAGATACCAGCCTTGAAAATTCTAATTATGTACAAACAACAGGCTTTGTTCAAGTTTCTAATGGTTATTTATTTTTATTATTTCATTTGATAATATTACCACTTACGAGAAAATTAATCGTGTGTGTGTAGAAGTGAAACAAACTCTTTTGAGAATAATTATTTATTGAATATCTTAATTTTTCCAGACATGAAACTTAAAAAAATATAAATAAATATTTAGTATACACAATTAAAATGAGGGTGTGCTGATATTAGAGAGAGCGCACAATAGACTCAATGTGGTAACTTCATCACTCCTCATTTATTGTCATCTTCCCCCATCTCTTGAATTTATCAAGCATGCACAATTTTATTGATATGTATTCCTGAGCATGCTCTCCTATTTATTTATCTAACGAACGTTTTTATTTTGCTTCTTCATTTCAGTATTATAAGGCAAATTTTTTGAAATATTATGTTAAAAAATATAC